GCACAAGGAATATTCCTTGCCTCCCTGTGTGTCTCTACACAAGCTCTCCAGGCATGTGCTGGTTGGCTGGTTTGATGATCACACTGCAGATCTGTGTTCCTTTACCCCTAAGAGCTGTAGTCTGCTTCCCAAGCAAAGATACTAGGCTATTCTGTTTCTCATAGAAATGTATATATCTGGGGCTATAGATGATTCAGCTGGCATACCTTTAATTCCAGCACTCAGGAGGTAGAGTCAGGCAGATCTCTTTGAGTTCAAAGCCAGCCCAGTCAACTTAGCAAGGACAGCTAGGGCTACACAGTGAGACCCGTCTCAAAATAAATAATTAAAAAATATATAGTTAGTTAATTTATTAGTTAGTTAGCCAGGCATAAATCCCAGCACTCAGGAGGTAGAGGCACGTGGATCTGTGAGGCTAGCCTGGTCTACAGAGTGAGTTTGTTCCAGGACAGTCAGGCTACACAGAGAAACTCTGTCTTTGTTTTTTTTTTTTTTTTAAGATTTATTTATTTATTATGTATACAGAAGAGGGTGCCAGATCTCATTACAGATGGTTGTGAGCCACCATGTGGGTGCTGGGAATTGAACTCAGGACCTCTGGAAGAGCAGTCGGTGCTCTTAACCTCTGAGCCATCTCTCCAGCCCCGAGAAACTCTGTCTTAAAAAACCAAAATAAATATAAAATTAGATATATTACATATAAATATATGATGTTTTCTACTTTCACTAGTTATTCACATTATCCAGGTTTCTATTTTTCCTCCTGACCCCTGGCCCACACTGGATTTACTTGATGTATCTCCGACAGCTGGGCTGTCAACCCCTTCCTCAAGGTCATATCCCAGTTATGCGTTTGAGACAAGAATACTTAACAATGTGTGACATTGCTTTTGATCATTTGGTTAAAGCGGCACCTGGGAGGTCTCTCCAGCCTTGTGGGGTTGGAAACTGTCCCTGGCTGCAGCGTGTAGTAGAGACCAGGACAGGAGTGCTGGTGGCACTGGTGGTTTGGGGAGGTGGCACTGTTTTGCCCAAGTCATGCAATATTTGTCTGGTTTTGGATTTTTGAGACCAAAAACAATCATACTTGTTTCTCTGTGTGTCCTGGAACTCGCTCTATAGACTAGGCTGGCCTCAAACTCAGAGGTCTACCTGCCTCTGACTCCAAGTGCTGGGACTAAAGTGTGCGCCTCCGTGCCCAGTCCTAAGCGCACAGTTTATAAGGACCAGAATGGGGACTAGAAGACAGAGATCCTGATGTCTACAGCTTTGTTCCTTTCACATTACTAACTCTTAGGACTCCATGGTGATTCAGTCGAATACAAGGATAAAGTGTCAGCATCTCAAAGAAGGCTAGGAGGCCGGAGAGATGGCTCAGTCAGTGACGAAGAGCACAGGCTGCTCTTCCGGAAGACCTGATTTCCATTCCTACCTAGCACCCACATGGTGGCTCAAAATACAGGCTAAGGACAGTCACTGCCCAGCAAAGCCTTAACTGTGGTTACGGCCCTCCTGAGTATGGCACTACATCATCCCTCAGGGTGCCTTGGTGATTTACTCAATTCCACATGCTTCATCCTAGGAGGTTTTTGTTTATGTTTGTTTGTTTGTTGTTTTGAGACCGGGTCTCACTATATAGCCCTGGCTGGACTAGGACCCTCTACATAGACCAGGTTTTCTTCAAACTCATAGAGAGTCCACTGGACTCTACCCCATGCTGGCATTAAAATTGTGACCATTACTGGGTGGTGGTGGCACATGCCTTTAATCCCACCAGGCAGAGGCAGGCAGGTCTCTGTGAGTTCAAGGACAGCCAGGACTACACAGAGAAACCCTGTCTTGGAAAAAAAAAAAACAACTGAGTACCATGCCTGGCTAGCTTTTTTTTTTTTTTTTTTTTTTTTTTTGGATAGGATCTCATGTACTAGGCTGACTAGCCTGGAACTCACTTTGTAGTACAGGATGACCCAGAACTACTAGTCCTGCCTCCATCTCCCAAGTGCTAGGTTTTCCAACGGGTATTATTGCATTCTACTTGTCTCAGAAGCTTTTCTAGACACTGAACCATCAAGTACAGCATGTGTAGTTCATTTATCTTTGGTTTTGCCTTGCCTGACATGTGGCCAGGCTCACTGTTCATCAGTAAAACAGTCGGAGATCTGAGATACCTAGCAAATAAACTCAAAGAGGAGTGAAGATCAGTATTTCAGTATTCCTTTTTTGGTTTTTCAAGACAGAGTTTCTGTGTGTAGCCCTGGCTGTCCTGGAACTCACTCTGTAGACCAGGCTGGCCTCGAACTCCGAGATTCGCCTGCTTTTGCCTCCCAAGTGCTGGGATTAAAGGCGTGCACCACCACCACCCAGCCAGTATTACTATTTTAAGACAACAATGTTTTCTTTCTTATTGACTTTATTTATTTTATGTCTATGTCTGCACTTGAAGGTGTACATGTGTGGAAGTCAGAGGACAGCTTTTAAGAGTCGGTTCTCACTTTCTGCCTTATAGAAGCAGGAGTTCTCAGTTCTGCTGTGCTGTGCTATGCTGTGTACTCCAGGCTGGCTGGCCTGTGAACTTCCAGACAGCTCTGTCTCGCTCTCTCCCCCATCTCACCGTACGAGTGCTGGGATCCAGATGTTCATCACGTATCCAGCTTTCCACATGGGTTCTTTTGTTGTTAGTACTCTCACCCAGTGAGCTCCCTCCCTAGTCCATGAGGATTATGTTTGTAGCAAGGAACCAAACCTGCCTGGTGTTCCCAGGCAAGGTAGTACACTCCTCTAATCCCAGGACTTGAGGAGGAGGTTGGAGGACCAGGAGTTTAAGAGCAGCTTTGGCTGCCTAGTAAATTTGAGGCCAGACTGGCTACATGAGACCCTCTTATTTTAACAAAACCAATCCTTCCCTCACCAAAAAGAAAAAGAGAAACATACTTGATGGTAAACGTTTCTAGGGGCAAATCTGAATACGATGAGAGGCCCGTTCATGCTTGTGTCTGGGATGAAGGGCACAAAGGAAGGATAGCGGTGATGATTGTGGCCAGGCAGACAGAAAATGTCTGTTGATGATGGTGGGGAAGTGGTCCCTGGAGAGCCTAGGCTTCCTTCTTTGTGGTAAAATCTACATCAAAATTACCATTTTAATCTTATACATGCCATTTTTTAGCTTACCATCCTGTGGCATTAAATACATCCATACTCTTTCCAGAGCTATGACGCCTTCCCAGCTGAAATTCTGTACCCATTCAACATCACTCTCCCATGCTCCTCTGCTTCATCCCTTGGCATCCACCACACTATTTTTCTACGTCTGTTAAATTGGTAGTTGTAGATATTTCATATTAGCTAGACAATAGAGTATTTGTTCTTTCGTATGTAGCTTATTTAATTTAGAATGCCTTCAAAATTCATCCATGTCGTGAGTTCGAGGCCAGCCTGGTCTCTAAAGCGAGTTCCAGGAAAGGCGCAAAGCTCCACAGAGAAACCCTGTCTCGAAAAACCAAAAAAAAAAAAAAAATTCATCCATGTCAAAGCATAAAAGAATTTCATTCTTTTTTTTTTTTTTTTTTTTTTTTTGGTTTTTCGAGACAGGGTTTCTCTGTGTAGCTTTGCGCCTTTCCTGGAACTCACTTGGTAGTCCAGGCTGGCCTCGAACTCACAGAGATCCGCCTGGCTCTGCCTCCCGAGTGCTGGGATTAAAGGCGTGCGCCACCACCGCCCGGCTGAATTTCATTCTTTTTAAGGTCTAAATTATAGCCCAAAAATGTTTCATTTTTCATCCATTGATATACTTTTTAATCTTTTGTTTGTTTGTTTTTTGTTTTGGTTTTTTGAGACAGGGTTTCTCCGTGTAGCTTTTGCACCTTTCCTGGAACTCACTCTGTAGCCCAGACTGGCCTCGAACTCACAGAGAACTTTTTAATTTTTTAACCTTTGTTTTTATTTGATGTGCATGTTTTGCCTGCATATATGTCTGCACACCATGTGCATGCAGCATTTGTGGCAGCCAGAAGAGGATGTCAGATCCCCTTGGACTGCACTTATAAAAGGATGTTAGTGGCCATGTGGATGCTGGGAATCAAATCCGGGTCCTCTGGAAGGGCAGCCAGTGCTTTCAGTGGCTGAGCCATTTCTCCAGCACCCCCACTGATGAACTTTTGGGTTGTTCTCACTTTATGGTTATTGTAAATAATGCTACTGTGAACATTGACATACAAATGTCTGTTTAAAGTTGCTATTTTCAGTTCTCTTGGGTATATACCAAGGAGTAAATTTGCTAGGTCATATAGTAATTTTGGGATGTTTTGGGGGGGCGGTTAAAAATATTTTTTTTTTTTTTTAAAGATTTGTTATTTTTGTTTTGAGACTAGGCCTCACTGTGTAGTTCTGGCTGTCCTGGAACTCACTATGGAGACCAAGCTGGCCTCAAACTCACAGATATCCTCCTGCCTGTGTACACCACTATTCCCAGCAGAGATTTTATTTATTTATATGTATATGAGTGTTTGTCTGGATATGCATCTACACACTTCATGTGTGTAGTGCCCACAGAGGTCAGAAGAGGGCATTGGATCCCCTAGGACTGGAGTTAAAGAAGGTTGTGAGTTGCCATATGGGTGCTGGTAATTGAACCCGAGTCCTCTGGAAGAGCTGCCAGTGCTCTTAACCGTGAGCCATCTCTCCAGCCCCCATATACACATAATTTTTAAAAATAAGGACTGGAAAGATGGCTAGGTGGTTAAGATCACAGGTTGTTTTTACCGAGGACCCAGATTCGATTCCCAGCACCTACAACATGGCTCACAACCATCCATAACTCCAGTTCCAAGAGCTCCTACAACCCTCTTCAGACCTTGGGCACCAGACACATGTGGTACACACACATATATACAGGCAAAATGTTCACACACATAAAACAGATTTTGAAAAGTTTTTAATAATTATTTGTACATGTATGTGGAGTGGGGAGAGAGGTTCCCTGTGAGCGCAGTGTGAGCAGAAGACATGAGGTGTCCCAGCCCTAGAGCCAGAGTTACAGGTGGTTATGAACTGTCAAGCGGTAACATTCTTAACTGCTGAGCCAGCTGTCCAGCCCGTTTGTGGTTTTTGTTTGCCGTACTGGGGATGACTTAGGGCCTCCTTCATGTTATGTAGGCCACCCATGCTCCATTCCCTTCCAAGGTGTTTAAGTTGTGAAGAACTGGTCTCTTTCCCACAATGCCTATATCATTTCATATCCCCACCTGCCAATCACAAATGATCCCATTTCTCTGCACCCCACTGACACTTGTAATTGTCTATGTTTTGTTTTCAACAATAGCCATTCATTGAGAAGTTCAGGAGATTTCAAAGCCTAAGGTAGACCACAAAGAGAACTTTCTCTTTAGGGCAAGAAGAGCTCAACGTTTGCAAGGGTTTTCGGGATGCTCCGTCCGTCCTCATCACAGGCGTCCCAGAAGTCTAAAGCTCTTCAGGTCAGCCCAGGAACCTGTCCCTGACCTCTGCTTCTGACCTCCTGGCTTCTCCCCTGCAGGTGCCTGGCTGCAGCAAGCCATGCTCTGAGCCATGCCCAGACCGGGACAGCCTCGCCCATCGTCTGGGCCTCCTCGCTTGGGTCCCTGGGAGAGGCCAACAGAGTTATGCCTGGAAACCAATGATGAGCGCTCCCAGCCCCCACCAGGCCGCCGCACCCGCAGGCCGGACCCCAAGGACCCTGGCCACCACGGGCCAGAGAGTATCACCTTCATTTCAGGCTCTGCAGAACCAGCCACTGAGCCCCCAACCTGCTGCCTCCTCTGGCGCCCCTGGGGGTGGGACTGGTGCAGGGCTGCCTTCTGCTTTCGCCGCTGCAGGGATTGCCTGCAGCGCTGTGGGGCTTGTGTGCGGGGCTGCAGCCCCTGCTTATCTGCTGTGGATCCCACTGAGGGATCTGCTGAAGTCACCTGGGTCAAGGAGAATGGCGTGCCACCCAGCCCGGACTGTGCACCTCCCAGCCGCCGGGATGGCCAGCGGCTCAAATCCAGCATGGGCAGCAGCTTCAGCTACCCTGACGTTAAGCTCAAGGGCATTCCAGTCTACCCCTACCGCCATGCCACCTCCCCAGTCCCTGATGCGGACTCCTGCTGCAAGGAGCCCCTGCCTGAGCCCCTTCCCACACGGCACAGCCTGCCAAGCACCCTCCCCAGCAGCCCCCGCGGCTCCGAGGAGTATTACTCCTTCCACGAGTCGGACCTGGACCTGCCCGAGATGGGCAGTGGCTCCATGTCGAGCCGGGAGATCGACGTGCTTATTTTCAAGAAGCTGACAGAGCTGTTCAGTGTACACCAGATTGACGAGCTGGCCAAGTGCACGTCGGACACTGTGTTCCTGGAGAAGACCAGCAAGATCTCAGACCTGATTAGCAGCATCACGCAGGATTACCACCTGGACGAGCAAGACGCCGAGGGTCGCCTGGTGCGCGGCATCATCCGTATCAGTACCCGCAAAAGCCGCTCCCGCCCACAGACCTCCGAGGGGCGCTCAGCCCGCTCTACTGCCCCTGCTGCTGCCCCCGACAGTGGCCATGAGACCATGGTGGGCTCTGGCCTCAGCCAGGATGGTAAGTGGGCCCAAGTAGGAAAGCTCTGGCTATAGGAGGCCTGGGGTGGGTTCTTTGTGGGATTTACCCTTGGCCAGCCGACACGTGTCTAAACTCTTGGGCACAGGGAAGCTGAAAACTATGGGGAGCATGCAGACTCCGAGAGCTTTGGCCATTGCACTGTCCCCAGCATCCATGCATCCATCCATCATGTTGGCCATTGCACTGTCCCCAGCATTTATTTGTTGGTTTGTTATTGCATCTGTCAGGCTCCTCCTTTCCCCTATTACTTCTTGGCAAAGCAGCTCCCAAGCCTGGCCTAAATTAGGGCCTAAAGCTCAAGAATTTGGACCTGTGCATTACGCAAGACAGGCTAACGATGGGAGTTCAGGCTTGTATTCCCAGAACTCTAGAGGCTCAAGAAAAAGGTCTGCCAAGCATTCTAGGCCAGCCTGGGCTACAGTGACCTTGTTTCAAAAAACAAAAACCCAAGAATTTGAGCCACTGACCTGGCCTAGCCAAAGTCCCACCTGCCCATCGCACACATACACACACCCTTGTTTTAAGCTTATTTCTCTAGCCTGTGTATAGTAGGCACCCTTCTTCACTGAGCTGCAATAGGGACTGAGCTTTATAAAATATAATGACCACTGCTTATTCATACTTCCTCCCTAGAACTGACAGTGCAGATCTCCCAGGAGACGACAGCAGATGCCATCGCCAGGAAGCTGAGGCCATATGGAACCCCAGGTGTGGTCCTGACCTGAGCAGAGGGTGGGAGACCATACCAGGGGCCCTTCAGATGACCTTCCAGCTTCCTTTGGGGTGGGTGAGGTTGGGATCAGAAATGGAAAAAGGCCTGAGCAACCACATACCCACTGCAACCTTGGAGCTGGCTTGAAGTAAGGTTCCCGAATAGAACTCTTAGTGATCAGGGAGTAAGGTGGACAGAAGGCCATCCTGCCTGCAGCTACGAAGCTCCCTTGATTTCTACTGCCATCCCCTGGGCCTTCACCAGACAGCTGCTGGGGTCTGAACATCGGGAGTGGTTTGCCCAGTGTGATGGCTGACCAGGCTCAGGCCTGCTCTGTTCCACTCGGCAGCTTTCTCCCTGGCTGTGGGCCTTGGCTGAGCTCCTTCCCTCTCTGAGCCTCTGCTTCCTCCTCCAACTAGGGTACCCAGCCAGCCAAGACTCGTCCTTCCAGGGCACGGACACAGACTCTTCAGGGGCACCCCTGCTGCAGGTGTACTGCTAACCCCCTATGGCCCGGCACTCACAGCCCCTCTTGGAAGAAGCATAGCCAGCGGAGTGGAAGACCCAGGACCCCTTTGTGTGGAGGCCAGACCCTGAGCCTAGCAGTGACCTCTGGCTTCTGCTTCTGTTGAATGATTTAGACCATGTACATTTCACAGGGCCATGGTGTCCCTGTCCTCTGCCTATCCAGCTGGACTGACTGCTGCCTGGGCCTGTTTCTTCCTGTGGCCTGAAAGCACAGCCTTGGGAAGTAGTTTTCCAGTTCTATTCCCATGTCACCCCCAAGCAATTATGGAAACTATATAGATAGCATGGCCTCTATATGTGATTCTCTGGGCAGCGCCCACTTGTTACATTGCTGAGCAGTTTGGATCGGATCTTGGATGTTCTGTATTGTTAACATGACCATTGTTGCAAGTATATACACCTGCCTGTCATCAGGGTTACATGGTCTTCCTGTCCAGCATTGTGGAGTAGGACAAGGTGGGGCCAGGCAGACTGTGGCTTCCCTTCCAAAAGATAAAGAACCACCTATGGTGGCTTTGTCTGGACTGCCAGTCCCCAGTCTTAAGGACCTGGCAGTGACCCCTCACCTCTCCCTGGTGCTGAGACAGCACTCTGGTTCTCACCTTATCTTGCTCTCCCAGCTAGCACCTGGCACCAAACCTGGGGCCTGAGCTCAGAGAGGCAAAAGCAGACTCCCCTTTTATGGGCACCGGGGCTAGCTCCATCCAGGGCCCTTAGCCGCTCTTACAGGGGCTGGATCTTGGTAGACCTAACATCACTACTTGAGAGGGTGAGGCAGAAGGGCTCCCAGTACAGGGCCCACTAGGCTAGTGGGCTTGAAGTTAGCCAGGGCAGTTCTTCAACCCATTACCACAAACAAAGGAAGGCCCATCTTAAGTTTCAGCAAGCCCTGGGCTGGCTAGCTAGCCCAGTGACCACAGGCTAGCAAAAGGGGCTATTCTTTCCCAGCTTCTTCCTTTACAGACCTTGTTTACTGTATGTTCGGGCACCCTTTGAAAAGTGGTTAACGGGGGCTGGAGAGATGGCTCAGCAGTTAAGAGCACTGGCTGCTCTTCCAGAGGACCGGGTTCAATTTCCAGCACCTACATTGGCAGCTCACACCTGTCTGTAACTCCAGTTCCAGGGGATCTGACACCCTCATACAGATATACATGCAGGCAAAACACCAATGCACATATAAATAAAAATTTAAAAAAAAAAAAAAAGAAAAAAAAAGAAAAAGAAAAGTGGTTAACTATCATTTATCTGGTTTCCTAAGGGACAGATGGCCATCTGGGGCTGTGACCACAGGACCCAGGTGGAGCTATAGCAATCGAACTGGCCCTTGGGAGCTGCTGTTATCCAGATTTAGGCATGAATAGAATGACCAGGTAGGGGTGTGGCTTGGTGTTGCCTAGCATGTGTGGGGTCCTGGCTTTGATCCCTAGCACTGTAAGAGGGAAAAATGTGTTCACCTGTAATCTCACCTAGGAAACTATCAAGAGGATTACTGAGTTCAAGACTAATCAGGGATACATACCAAGACACCTCAAAAAGGGGTAAAGGGGTACAGCACCCACACGGTAGCTCACAATCATCCCTAACTCCAGTTCCAGGCAATCTGATGCCCTCTTCTGACTGCTGTGGGCACCAGGCACATACATGGTTCATATACATACATACAGGAAAACACTCGTTCACTTAAATTTTTTTTTTTTTTTTTTTTTTTTTGAGACAGGGTTTCTCTGTGTAGCTTTGCGCCTTTCCTGGAACTCACTTGGTAGCCCAGGCTGGCCTCGAACTCACAGAGATCCGCCTGGCTCTGCCTCCCGAGTGCTGGGATTAAAGGCGTGCACCACCACCGCCCGGCAAATCTATTTTTTTAAAGGAAAAGATTACAGGACAGGGAAATGACAGTGTTAACAGTCTTAAACTCCAGCCTCGGCCCAGAAACCAATTTCCCAACAGCTCTGTGAAGTACTATTTGCATTCCCAGAAAAAGGTTTATCAAAACAGCTTGGTACTCACTTTAACCTGCATGGCCCTGCATTCAGTGGCCCTACCCTCTGGTGGGAGCAGAGGCTCCAAGGGCCAGGTGTGAGCACAAGGACCTCCTTGGCCTTTACTGCATAGAACAGGTCAAAGACAAACAGTGGGCTCCACTGGACTGTCCCCTGCCTTCCCAGCTCCCATACCTATGCACTGTCACCCGGCTTCAGCACAGTCCAGTCTGAACACTTAATTCTGGGACTCGGCTCCTGGAACTGTCTAAGTCCAGCTGCTGTTAGATCTTGTTGGCTCATGGGTCCCTCTGGGAGTCCGTAGCAGAAAGACTCGCCTTTGTGGCACCACATGTGGCAGGTGAGGTGGCTCAGAGTGGAAAGGCACTCACGCAGATCTGGCAATCTGAGTTCCATCCCTGAAGTCCATGTAAACATGAAGAGAACTGAGCCACAAAGTTGTCCTCTGGACTTCACACATGTGCTGCAGCACGTGTGCACACACAATGAAAACTGAAACAGGGCCGGGCGGTGCTGGCGCACGCCTTTAATCCCAGCACGCGGGAAGCAGAGCCAGGTGGGTCTCTGTGAGTTCGAGGCCAGCCTGGACTACCAAGTGAGTTCCAGGACTGCCAAGGCTACAGAGAAACCCTGTCTCTAAACAAATAAATACCTAAAACCTGTGTTACAGTCCTCCCTAAGTCATAAGGGGAGCAGAGATCCAGAATCAAGAACCTGCCCTAGTAGGTAGAATTCTACACAGCAGAATCTGGGCTAGAAGCCAAAACCCCAGCTCCCAGCAGCAGCTAGGGAGAGCTAAAGGGAGGACACAGGAGGAGCAGGGTAAATAGTTTTAATGTGTAACAGGCCAAACAGGGAGGAGAGGACCCCCAAGACCCAGCCCTTCTCCGGTGAAGCCCCGGAGCTCACATGCCCGGGAAGTCCCATGCCTGCCCCAGCCCTAAGGTTCCCAGGTCCCAGGAAAAGGTGGGAAAGGAAATTTAGGGGCCAATCCGAAGAGTTCAGGAAGGCAAACACAGGAGTTAGTTGAATTTAGCTTTGGAGAAATCCATCTCTGGGTGCTGATCCATGAACCTGGGAAACAGAGGTATAAGAGTGAAGGAAGCTGTCCACCCCAAGCTAGCCGATTTCCAGTCCTGACACTGGGCCTAACCTCCTCAGAACCCTGAAGAACCCGGGGCCAAGCCTCGTGGGGCCTGAGAGCTGAAGCCCATTTGAACCCTCAAGGCTGAAGTGCTCCGGAGTGCCAGCAGTGGCTCCAGCTTCCAGTAGGTGGCGATGACCTCTTCTTACCTATTGCTTCCTACTCTTAAGGTGGCCTTGTCCTGGAGGTGACCCTGGCAAGTGGTCAGGTTAGGCAAGCCAAGGCCACAGACCATGAACTTGGCTGGTTCATGCTGGAAGGGGGCAGGGCAGTCTAGAGTCCCATTCAGTGGCATACTGTCACCACCCAGGCCTAAGTCCCCAGGGCAATCCTCCTATCCCCAGGTTGCTTACTTCTTCAGGATTTCCTGCTTCTTCTGCTCATCAGAGGTGGGCAAGCCCATGGACTTCTGTCTTTGGTCATACATCATCTTCTCCACCATGCTGCGAGTCTCACTGTCCAGGTCTGACAGCTAGGGAGAGGCAGAGAGAGGAATGAAGGATGCACTGGCCTACCTATCCCCCCAAGCTCCACAAAAAAAACCTTCCGAGCCAAGTAGGACTCACCTTGGAGTTTTCAGGGTTAATCTTCTTGGTATTGATTTCAGGGTCGCTGGTAACCAAGCGGTTCCACCATTCCATCTTATTGATCTGAGAGGAGGCGGGGGAGACATCCATGGGAAGGAAAGCTCTATGACCCAGGGATTACACCTCAACCCTTTTAGAACTAAACTCTCTCCCATCCACATCTGTGTCCAAGCCCCATGCAGGCCTGCGCTGGGACCAGGGGTATAGAAGGACCAGACTTCTGTCCACCCAGTAGCCGGGGAAGACACACAGAGGTCAACAGTTATAAATCAATGCATCACAGCAAGAAAGTGCGCAGTGGCCACTCAGCGTGGAGCAGAGAGGCTAGAGGAACACATGGCAGCTCACAACTGTCTGTAACTCCATCCCGGGGCTCTGACACCCTCACACAGACAATAGATGCAGGCAAAACCCCAATGTATGATAAATAAATAAATCTTTTAAAAACTTAGGAAAAAAGCAAAGAATGAGAAAGGAGATTCTGGCTGGGAGGAAAACCAAGTACAAAGGCACAGGTGTGTGGGTGGCAGCCGAGCCACCGTCTGTGCCGGGGAAGCTGTCCTTGGGCTCTTGACCCTTTCCAGACACTGCCTTTATTTACCCCAGTAAACGTCCTACCTCTAGGAAGGCAGTGTAGGAGACAATATGGACTTCATGAGGGCAAACTCTACATTCGGTTCACTGTTCTCCAGTCCTTAGAACAGTGCCTGGCACACAGTAGGTGTTCAAGCATGTGTGGAACTGAACCCACGTGCAAGCATGATGGGAAGGAAGAGGCCTGGCGTACAAGACTGCTCAGCCTGCCTCTACCCACCGGCGCCAAGGGAGGCACACAACTGAATGGAAGCTGTTTCCTGACCGCACGGTAAGGGCAGAGAGAGGAGTAAGTCCCCAAGGCCTGCAACACAGCCAGCGGGGATGAGGGGACAGACAGACAGACAGACAGACACACACACACACCCCCCACCACCGCACAGTCAGCACCCAGGCTGGGCCGGACCTCCCTACCTTCTTACCTTCTCCAGATGCACGGTCACCACCTTGCCGTCCTCGATGAGCCACGAGCTCTCCTCCACCTTTACTTCGTTGTACAGCTCACCGTCAATCAGCGGAGGCTGTCCTTTGAGGCCCACCCGGAGGTGCCGCCGCTGGATGTCCACCACCACGTCCTTCCCCTTCAGCCGGAAGCTGACTCGGAAGGGCACTGCCAGATCTAGCTCCGACAGGGTCTGGGTCCAGCGGTAGTTGGGCAGGTCAGCCCCGTTGCCTAGGTTGGGCTTCAGCTTTCCTCTGTCCTTCTCATCTTCCTCCTCTTCCTCCTCCTCAGCATCCTGCTCACAGTCAGGGGTGCTGAGTGACTTACCTGACACACCAGACTTCCACCAGGCCAGGCCTGAACTGCCACTGGACATAACAGTCACGAGAGCAGACCTAAGCATGTCAGACCTACACACCCCAGGCCACTGGGAATCAAAGTAAAACAGGTCCTGATCTCTGCCAGAAGGGCTCAAAATGTATCATGTGACAAAGGATATGGCGGAGCCCACTGCCCCTCAGCCCACCCCTCAGGGTGCCCTCTGAGTTGTGTGCATTTTTTTGGTTGGTTGTTTTTTGGTTTTTTGAGACAGGGTTTCTCTGTGTAACAGTCCTGGCTGTCCTGGAAC